TCCATCCTTTTTAACATATTTTGCACAAAATATACTCTCTGTAATGCCCCATTCATAAAAAAACGGCGAGAAATCATGTCAGGGGCGGGGTTTAGAAAGTAGTTTTTGTGCAGAATGTGTAAAATAGGAGAGACTTTGGATGTATTTTTTCTGCAGAATATGTAAAAAAGGAGGGACTTCGGATGTTGTATACAAATTATAGATGCATTACTGTAAGAACTGTCAAAATCCTATGAACGCGCTAGTGTTCGTGAGATTCTGCTTGGCAAACTGACGGTAAACATTCATTTACATCTTTAAGTAGAGCTTTACATTGTTGTTTGTTACAAAATTCATGCACCAAGTGGATTAGCGAGTTTCTGGGTGGGTGCTGTGTTTAGTTCGGTCCAACAAAAATTAAACCTCTGAAAATAGGTTGGAGCGTCTTTGTGGTAAATGCAAGAATGACAAAAAGTTAAGAGATATATTTATGAATAGTTGTAGTTCTAGTTCCTAATTATGTGCTTAAGAGGCGGATAAATTCCTACGTTAAGGTAGCCAATGAACATTTAGAATTATGATCCTGCTTGGATGGACGAATTTTTGATTGCTTGAAGTAGCAAATTATGATTAAATATGGAACATGGACCAAACTTTCTAATTTTGAGAAAGCACAACTCGGAATATCAAATTTTCGATTATGCTGATGTAAAGAAAGTGAGGGGGCAATCCCTAGTAACCAACAAGCCTGCTTAGTAACAATCCGACTAATAATGCGCCAAAGCCCTGTATTAGTTGTATGTTAGCTTTATATAACAAAATCAATCCAAATTACCGGGCTTATTGGTTACCTCCCAATTAACAATTTGGGTTTTATGAGGGTACTGTAGACTATGATTTAGACTTGTAGAGTGCTTTAAAACCTCAATAAAACTTACAATGTTATTTGGGCTGGGATGTGCAATACATGCTAGTGAACGAATTCCCACCGGAGGTATCCCACTGCGATCAAGCGTTTGGTTGAACGTGTTGACAAATGTTCAACGGAGATGGGATGGGCATTGAAGTGTGCACGGGGAATATATTTTATAACAGAGGATTAAATACAAGTGTTTCATATGCGGAAATATCCCTAACGGAAAGTCCAGAAACAGTCAGAAAAATAACTAATAAGGGTGAGGAAATTGACATGTCGAGGAGAGGAAATGGAGTAAATCGAGGAAATAAGTTACTTCTACTGTATTTTAAATCAATATTAAGAAAAATGAAGGAGAAGTTCACTACACATCTCAACGTAGTCTACGCATCCGTGTCTTATGCACAGCCCCACCAATTTTATCATTAGGTCTTGTCATTTTCGAATTTATGTTATAATAAACTAAATTAAGTAGTTTGAATCCATTGTTTTTTTCTATTATTTTAAATAAAAAAAAATTATTTCAAATAACAATGACCTCCCTTAGGTAAAGGCACAGCTACAAAGCAAGTCCATGCTGGAGGTGACTGGGTTCGATTCCCGGTCCAGTCTAGGCATTTTTCGGGTTGGAGGAAGAAGCATGGTGATAAAACATTGGTTGTTTCAAACAAAAGATCAGTTCAATTCAAACATCATTTTTAGGAAGTTTTAAACTGTACTTTGTTTCATTTTAATAATAAAATTTGTTTTTTATTGATCGATTTAATTCTTGATTACGTTTTAAAAGGGACTTATCGTTTCTTCCCTCTTTATCTATCAGCTGGTCTACATCTTAGGAACGTATCTGTTTTTTGCAAACAAAGATGCCAACGTCAATTTCTCAAAACTCTGAGCAGTCCCACGCAAACTGCTACAACCATCTTGTTGGGAGATCATTATCATTTTTAAAAGTGGTATTAGTTTACGTGGGAGTACTCGGGCTTTCGAGAAATTGACGATTTAATTTTAGTTCACAATAACAGATACGTCCCTTTGAAAACTTTATCGAGAATTGACTACTTCCGATGGCAGCATTCAAAATATCTACCGAAATCAGTCAGCATACTCCGTCGAAATCCACTGACCCCTCCAAAGTGCTAGTGGATTTCGACGGAGTATACTGACGAGCATCTATAATCACCGCCGAAATCGTGCGGAACCTTCTCCGTCAACATTCATTAGAACTTCCGATGACAGCTTCTAAAATCTCCACGGAAGCGATTCACCGAAATAGTGTCAAAATTCACTGGAATATTCGTTGACAGCCACTCTGCCATCTTGTGTTAAACACATCAAAAACACTCTTCGACACACTGTAACCTCCTTCAACCACCATGAGAACCAATTTTTCAATCTTTTCTGGCAGCACTGCCTAGAGCCAAGAATGTTTACATTCGTTGATGTCCTTTTTTGTTTTTGTTGATTTTTTTCTGAATGAGACAGCTCCCTCCATCAACCGGTAGAATTCACAGAAAACTGATCGGGACACGGAAGTAACTCCCGCAAATTAGACATTGAAAAAATAGACATTTTAGCCTCTATAACAAGCTAAAATATCTGTAACTGTGTATGAATGAAGGAGTGGATAATAATTATCATGTCAATTATTGACCAATACCTGAAAACAGATATTTCTTTGTAGTTTGGAAGTCATTCCATATACACAATACCAAATCAGAGAGATCCATTCTACAAGCTGCGGCCTACAAAAAGTTTGTTTTCTTTGAGAAATTTAGATCCAGAGATTGCTTAGAAAGGGGCATGATCGGGTGGGTTATCTGGGTTTGATGGCGACTTGAATTCGTTTGAGATGGATTCGAGAGGATTTTACTGGTTTGAGCCAGGATCTCAAGCATGCATGACATAAGAATGCGACGGTTGAGGGAGTACTTTTTGAGATCGGAGGGGAACTCCAGACAGACATATACAGCACACTTTTTTTTAGATAGGTGATGCGAATGACGATCAGGGATGAGAATTTGAATTCCTGTAAGTTGTTTACGTAGACGTGTACTTTTTTTACTGGGATTCCATGCTTACACTGTGCCTTATTAAATTCAGGGTGCCTTCCATTCATTTTGGCTAAAAAAATGTTTTATGAAATTATGGAATAATAAGATATCATAATAATATTTTGTTTGTGTAAGCAACAAGCAAAGATTGTGGAGTTTGTGTTTGACCAGCCTGAGAGTCACAATAAGCGATTTTGTCATTTATCTCACCCACTCTTCGCGAAGAGGCGAGCAGAAAATCGCTCATTGTGGCTCTGTCAAAGCTAAATTTTCAGGTTTTATGTGTCAAACACAAACTGTAATATCTTTTCTTGTTCCTTACACATACAAAATACCATCATAATCAGTCTTGTAAGCGGTCACGGTAGTCGACACATTTACTGTAATCGTCACGAATGTATGTATTTTAGTTTTTCTTATAATAAGAGCTGCTGATGTTGTGCTTGTGTGAATTATGTAAATAGCAAGCAATGATGTCATAGTAAACACATTTCTGATCAGAAATTGTTTAATTTACACTAAGTTGAGGAATTAGAATGAGATCACACATGTCATATGATAGTTCTTTGATAATTTTCTTTTTGCTCGAATGTTATTCTACCGTTTGTGTTGTGTGAGAGAGACGACGGTAGAGCATGAGTGTACGAATACAAATAGACTGTCGCGCACGACAACGAAGCAAGTGTAGTAAAAAACGTCAACTGTTTCAACCCCTGATCATAATATCTTATTTATCCATAATTTCCTAAAACATTTTTTTAGTTAAAATGAATGGAAGGCACCCTGATCAAATTGGTAAATTTGGGGCGAGAGCAAAAAAAAAAGACTTCTGTTTATAAACAAATGTGGCACAACAATCTACTGGACTTTTGATAATGTATGGAAATTTTTCGTTTATGCTCGATTTCACAAAAACTGAGCCACTTTCCAACTAACAATTTTAGCTGCAGATTAGCTTATACATTTAATTTTTGCCTATATAAGCTATACACAGCAAAAAAATAATTTTGATATCACATCAAAGTGGATGCACTACAATCATGTCGAAAATTTCATGTAATTTTTATGACCACATAAATAAACAAATGCAGTAAAAGCAGCTTAATGTCAGTTCATGCATTGTATTAATGATAATTTTGTCCTTTTTAGCAAGTAATATTACACCATATTTTCGACATGATTGTAGTGCATCCACTTTGACGTGATATCAAAATTATTTTTTTGCTGTGTAGTCTGCATCTAAAATTGTCTGTACTGGATTATGTACATCTAAATTATGTGCTGGACAAAACCGGATATTTTTTCAGCATCCGTTGGTGGTACCTGTTTTGCACAGAGAAGTGTTGTGAATTTAATGAATTAACGAATTTTCCCATACTGTAATAACTGTTTTTTACCGATCTGGCCTACCAAATATTTTTTTCAGTATTCGCTTCTGAAACCGGTATTTCTGGAAAAATGTTCAAATCTCCGTAATTTTATTGATAAACTTAATGCTTATAGGAAGGTCGGGCCATGGTGTCAGTAGTTGTGCGATTAAAACTGACAACATCCACACTGAGCTCACAAAATATAATTTGTAACATGGTCAAAAATAAGCTACCTATCAGTATTTTGTAGCATTCACAACTTGCCTGTAGTTTGTGTATCGGAACATGGTGCTGCAATATTATTTTGATTTTTTTTTTGAGAACAATAACCGATGTTTCTTTATTCCTAAATGCTAAATTTATACCGAGTAACGCAATCGAAAACTCGTTGAGATGCTGACATTCTCGTACAATGTTACAATGGTATTTCCAAAGCAGGTACTGTTTGGCTAAAATCAGATAATGAACGGTTATTCTCAATCGTTTCATTACCGCTACCTAACATCCCTCAAATTTTGGTACAAATAATGCATTTTTATTTTTAAATCGTACCCGTTCTTTCGACCGGCTAGGTATAATTGATTCTCAATATGGTATTTAAGCTAACAGTAATGCTTGAAACAGTATCAGTTCCAGTTTGACATCAGCAATCGAATCGTGTAACGGTAGTGCCTATAATTAGAAATGGATCATCCCCTGGAGTTACAGTTGAGCTCGTCGAACTCTAGCAGTTCTTGTTCGACACAGGATTCTCCGTCGCCAAGCTGGACCTTCACTCAACAGAAGGGTACCCTTACTGCGGTGCTGGAGCAGCTACCCATTCCATTTATGATCAACGTACTGGACGAAATGTGTCACCTCCCCGAACTGGCACAACACCAACGGCAAGTGCTATCCAATCCTTATAACGTGAGCAACATCCTCAGATGCGAACCAAGCGCTCGAACGAAGCTCACAGTATACTTCCAGTGGTTGGAGAAATCGACGAAGAATTTCGTATGGACTCTGACGGAAAACATCTGCCACTTCATTGCATTGTATCCGGATCTATCTGATGGCCATTTGCTTGGATTCCGCTATATGCTCAAGCTGGGAACGTTCCTAATGGAAGCCGGCTGGTACGCTGAAGCCATTATCCTGCTGAACATCGCTAAAGGTCAAGCCAAAGGCCGATCTATTAAGACTTTACAAGTATTGAAGGTTCTGGTTCTCGCCGAATCCCTCTCAAACCGCGACGAAGCTGCTTTCCTTACAATTTCGGAGATTCACTCACTCGCAGGCATAACCAAAGTTGTCCCGATGAGCTTAACCGCTGAACTGCATTGTGCTCTAGCGGCCAGCTACTTCGAGAACTGCGAGTTTAACGCAAGCTATCAACAAGGACTATTGGCACTGCAGTTACTAGGTGAAGGCATCTGTCCATACGAAACAATGATTGGGACGTTTCGTCAGCTGGGGAGAAGCTGTATCGCCAAGCAGAGATTATTCCAGGCAAAACTACTGATAACGCAGGCGGTGAGTTGGGCATGGCATAGCTTTGGATCGACGAGTGTAGTGTATGCGGAAGCATTGGAGGATTATGCTTTCTACCTGTTGATGATGAATGCCTACGACGATGCTATGAAGGTAGTAACCGAAGCTAAAAACATCTACTTCGATGTGTACGGATATCTGGGCGTGCAAGCTGAGTTGGCGCAAGGAAATCTAGCGTTTCGATTGTATTTGGAAAGCTACGGATACCAGGAGCTCGGGTCGCTTGATCAGTACATGGAATATATTGTCGATCTAGAAGATAACCGACGGAAGGCGCATCTAGGTGGATCAGATGACCGGCAGATGTTGGCTGTTGGAAGAATGAGGCCCTTGGTTGCTGTAGGCGACATTTGCAAAGTGGGGAACGTAATGGTACCCAGAGATGGAGTTGAAAACGTACAACCGCAAATGGTGGTCAATGACGTTAGAAGATTGTTCTTCACTAATTTATTGTGAAATTATTGTTTAATTCTTAGCGGTGTTGTATTTTATGTCGTTATTTTATTTGACTTCTATTTTTCTGATTTGGGTAAACCTTCATATTATATTGTATGTAGCCATGGGCCATACAAACTAAGAAAATAAAAAATGAAAACCCATTTGTTTGTTTTTTCATTAGCTCGCCATATGGTTCTTTTTAGTGGTGGTTGCAAATTTTTTCTATAGGGTGTCCCAGAATGTTTAGGCACGTTTAAAAAAAATCGATAACGTAACTCTGTGTACAGCAAATGCGATTTTTATCTCGTAAGCATGTTCTCTACAGTTAAACGTAGAAAATCCGAGATCCGATCAGTCGTAAGCCAAGGAGCGGATTTTACGTACTTGTGCATAATCTGCCATAGCTGATCTCGATCGTTTGTGTCGTATGCGGATTCACGGGAAACGAGAAACGTGAGTTTTGATATTTTTTTCCTATCAGAGCGCGAGACCCACCTGGGGTGATATTATTAATTATGTGAAAGCACTGGATGTGAATTCCGTTGAGATGGACGCAATGTACCGGATTTCGGTACTAATATAAAATCTAAGCCAATCTTAATGCTTTAATAAAACCTTTTTCAGCTTCAAGCTGTCCAAAACGAGACTGCTCTGAGGAAATTGCTTTCATTAATCCGAAAATTCTTGAAGAACAACATCGTATATAACCTCAAAATGTCAGAGGGATCAATACCACCGTTGAGTGAAGAACAGAACAGCTATCGAAAATGTACGCTTTGTGAAGGTGATGTCTACGATTTTTGGACCCATTATAGTTGTGCTGGTAAGACAACAGCTGTAAAGGAGGTTCCGTCGACGTGCTCGAAGTGCACAAATATGCTGAAGGTGCCGAAAGGAACCAAGAAATTTGTCCCAAAAAAACACCTAGCAGAAAGAATAGTGCGAGGAGTGATGCCGGATCCGAATCTGTAAAAGGAAGTATCAATGAGGTTAGTCTGGAGGAATCCCTAGACCAGTTGCAGCAGGAGAAAAGCACAAATGAGAAAGCGCTGGAGGAAGATAAATTCATCCATAAAAAGCGATAGGAGGCTGAGCGGGAGATCTTTCAAACCGAGAGTTATCTGCCGTCACTCTTTCAACAAAGATTTGGCTAGATTTAGGATTTAGGGATTCAATTATTATTTTAGTTCAGCATGCAAACGATGTAGAATGAGCTACTTACTAGTTACTTAGGGTAAATCAAGTATATAGCGTTTAGGAACAAATTGTAGGTTGCCAGATTTTAGGATCAAATAGTAGTATCTTCACGAATTCCACCTCCAACTAACCTACTTCAGTAGCTAGTTTACAACAATTTAATTAAACGATAGCCCTAGTAACAAATTTAGGCAATCAACTTCATTTACCTGTAAAACGTGTTCTAGGTGGTTTGGAATTGTACCTTCTTTTCCTCTTTTTTCTCGTTCTTACTCCGACCTATCTAAACTCACAGTTCCGTTGAATCAAACCTGACATCTGTCATTTCTGACAGCGACCGTTATCGTAGCTCTCCGGGCTTGGCGGACAGGGTTATCCCGATATTCGGAACAGCCATGATCCATAAATTAGACGTATTTTATTCACATTTTGGACACTATATTGTTAATTTTGATCCATAAACAATGAAAAATTGCTCCATTACTGCGTAAGTACTTAGATTTACTGTCCTGCCGTGTTTTTTTTTAGGTAGAGGTGCGGAGCGATGGTCAAGCGTCTAGAATTAGCTTCCAAAAGAAGTTTCTATAATAATAATCTTCTTAAGAAAATATGAAAAATAAATGTTAATTTTAAGGATCATACCTAGGGTAGGTGTTCCAGTTATTGGTAGACGTTCTTATTATGTTTTTGGGCTACAAAATGGTGAGTTGACAACCTGGAAGGAGCGGAATACCTAGCCCTGGTCCTCACAAGTTCCTACTTCACGCCTCCCCGAGTCATATGATAACAAAAGACTACCACTGAAACATGGACACTGCTGGGTGGCGTAGCCTGGGTAATGTTGCCAGACCGACAATAACAAAGTGAAGAGGTGCGATGCGAACACTGGTGCGGTAACCATAGTACAGTGATAGAGGAAATGCTTCATCAAACCCGAGCGTCTGTTCACCATGAAGGTGTGGCTCAAAACAGCGTCTGTTTTCCATGTTAGAAGCGGCTGATCACCGTCCTAGTGCCAGCGTGGGACTCCAAACAGAGCTGTGTACGATGGTCCCCTGGCGAGACAGGGGGTTGGGGCAGGCCCAACAAACCGCCCTGGAAAAAACTTAAAGTTGCAAATACTGAAGAAAGAAATACGGATCGGAACAATCGGCACAGACCTATGCGACGAAATAAGGGCTACGATTGGAAACGCGGAACATGGAACTGCAAATCACTCGGCTTCCCGGGCTGTGATATGTTAATCTATGACGAACTTCAACCACGCAACTTCGAAGTCGTAGCACTGCAGGAGCTTTGCTGGACGGGACAAAAGGTATGGAAAAGCGGGCATCGAGTGGCTACTTTCTACCAGAGCTGTGGCACCACCAACGAGCTGGGAACCGGCTTTGTAGTGCTGGGTAAGATGCGCCAACGCGTGATTGGTTGGCAGCCGATCAACGCGAGGATGTGCAAGTTGAGGATTAAGGGCCGTTTCTTCAACTACAGCATCAATCAGACCCGACGACGAGAAAGAAGCGTTCTATGCGCAGCTGGAGCAGGTGTACGACGACTGTTCGTAACAGGACTTCAAAAACGTCATCGGCGACATGCACCCTCAGGTCGATGTGCGGTAAAAGAGGTGAGGAGAAAGGAAACTAGTGGACTCTTTCGTTCTCGCGTCTTCTTATGCAGCAACAGACGTGACGTCACGTCTGCTGTTGCGTAAGAACACCGTCAGAATGAAAGAGTCCACTAGTTTCCTTTCCCCTCACCTCTTATACCGCACATCGCCCTCAGGTAGGACGGGAGGCAATGTATAGATCCTGCATGCCGTATCGAACGACAACGGCCAACGATGCGTGAACTTTGCAGCCTCTTGGGGTATGGTAGTCCGAAGCACCTTTTTCCCCCGCAAGGATATCCACAAAGCCACCTGGAGATCACCTGACCAACACACAGAAAACCAAATCGATCACGTTCTAATCGACGGGAAATGCTTCTCCGACATTATCAACGTCCGCACGTACCGCAGTGCGAACATAGATTCGGACCACTACCTAGTTGCAGTATGCATGCGCTCAAAAATCTCGACGGTGCATAACACCCGTCAAAGTCGAACGCCGCGACCCAACATTGAGCAACTACGGGACGCCGGAGTTGCCCAGGACTACGCGCAGCAGCTGGAAGTTGCACTACCCACGGAAGAGCAGCTTGGCGCAGCTTCTCTTGAAGATGGCTGGAGGGACATCCATTCCGCCATAGGTAGTACTGCTGCAGCGGCACTAGGTACTGCAATCCCGGACCGAAGAAATGACTGGTTTGACGGTGATTGCAAACTGTAGAGGAGAAGAATGCAGCACGGGCGAGAATGCTGCAATACCGCACGAGATTGATTGTGGAGCGATACAGACAAGCGCGGAACAGACAAAACTCGGTTTTCCGAAGGAAAAAGCGTCAGCAGGAAGACCGAGATTACGAGGCGATGGAAAATCTGTACCGCGTAAACGACACACGGAAGTTCTACTAGAAGCTAAATAGTTCGCGCAAAGGCCACGTGCCTCAAGCCGATATGTGCAAGGACTTGGACGGTAACCTTCTCACGTACAAGTGTGAGGTGATTGAGAGGTGGAAGCAGTACTACGACGAGCACCTCAACGGTGAAGCAGCAGAAAACGAAGGTGGCACGGCAACAGACCTTGGAGCACGAGCAGAAGACGACAGGCTACCGGCCCCTGATAAGAAGTTGAGAAGGAGATCGTTCGGCTGAAGAACAACAAAGCAACTGGTGTAGATCAACTACCAAGTGAGCTATTAAAATACGGTGGTGAAGCACTGGCTAGAGCGCTGCACTGGGTAATGGCCAAGATTTGGGAGGAGGAGATATTACCGGAGGAGTGGATGGAAGGTGTCGTATGCCCAATCTACAAAAAGGGCGACAAGTTGGATTTCTGCAATTACCGCGCGATCACACTGCTGAGCACCGCCTACAAGGTACTCTCCCAAATTCTATGCCACCGCCTGTCACCGTTTGCAATAGAGTTCGTGGGGCAATACCAGGCGGGATTCATGGGTGCCCGCACTACTACGGACCAAATTTTTGCGATTCGGCAGGTTCTGCAGAAATGTCGCAAATACAACGTGCTCACCGAGGGGGGCGACACATCTAAATCTCAATTTTGAAAGCTCAAAAAATTTCACACTAGCGAATCAATCTTCGAAAAATCTTCTTGCATTTCTCGCATCTACTTGCATCGTGCATCACCTTTTTGCAGGAAATCTTCAGAATCTTCATCACTCTTCTTTCTATCTACTGAGCGTGCGATCAGCTAGCCACAGCACAACACAATCTTTCCTGCAGCGTAGATAGAGTCGTCCCCCTCGGTGCTCACACATCATTTGATCATCGATTTCAAATCCGCATACGACACAATCGATCGAGATCAGCTATGGCAGATTATGCACGAGTACGGATTTCCGGATAAACGATTGGTCAACGATGGATCGAAAAATGTGCGTTGTTTGAGTATCGGGGACACTTTCGAGTCCCTTTGAATCTCGAAGGGGGTTACGGAAAGGTGATGGACTTTCGTGTCTGCTATTCAACATCGCGTTAGAAGGTGTGATCAGAAGAGCTGGGATAGACACGAGTGAGTGGCGCGATCTTCAGGAAGTCCATCCAGCTTCTTGGCTTCGCCGATGACATTGACATCATGGCACGGAACTTTGAGACGATGGTGGAAACGTTCATCAGACTGAAGGCTGAAGCTGGACGGATCTGACTTGCCATCAACGCATCAAAGACAAAATACATGGAAGGAAGAGGTTCTAGGGAAGACAAT